ATATATATATTTAATATTATATTTGTATGATTATTTTATGAAATGATTAGTGAATGATAGTATTTTTTTAGATTTCATTGTCACGTATGTTTATTTTGAGTAGAAAAAATGAGGAATTATATTATTTTTTAATTAGTAAAACATTTAATTTATATATAAAAAAATTAATTTGACATCCCCAAATTTTTTATCCAAATTCCGCCATTGGTTAGGGTAGATATACGAGGATTTAGGTTCAATCATCACTGTCATGCCGTCATTGTAATCCTTTTTACTGATATAAAATATAGTCACTGTCATTAACTCTCCACCCTCTCCCAGAACTCCATTTATTGACAATGTACAAGTTTCTGTTGCACGCGAGTAGTTTACTTTTCCAAGATACAAATTCTGTTAACCTGACAAAGTTAAGTTAGCAGGTTCTGAAGACTTGTTTTAGATTTTAAAAAGAAGAATGGATAATTTGGAATTTCTTCTATCTGTCCATAATGTGTTTATTAAATATGATTAATCACTCTCTGCATTAGTAGTACACATAATTCTGAACATGTTATTGGGTATCATGTTGAGTCATGTTCTTGGCTTTAATAATGGTAGTGATTGAGACAATCAATAAATATAACATTTAAAATGAGAACATGGTTTATAAATTCTACCATCTGGTAACTTTTGACACTAGTTGACGTGTCATAATTTTCCTGTGCCGTGTATCATACATAATAAATTATTCCAAAGAAGTTAGAACTTGAAATTCTATTAATCTCTTATTACGAACAATTCAAAACTTGAATTCATTAATATCTTATTGACAAAGAATTCATTAACATCTGATTACTTAAGTCAAAATTATAAATTATTACAAACAATTTAAAGTCTTGATTAACATCTTTTTGATGGAAATAATTCATTAATATATGAATACATAATTCAAAGTTTTTAGACATGAATTTATTTATTTTTAAATATATCCCGGTGCATCACATGAATGTTAATATAGTGTAATATACATTTATGAGGAGCAACTAATTTTCTTATAATATTACATGTCTATAGGCCTCAATGCTGAGAAAATAGTATGTCCACTACTTTCATTTTTATTTAGGTCTCATGACACATGAAATTATGGATCATATCTGGTGTGCAACTAATAGGTAATATGACTGTCATGCAGGAGAGTTAGACAGGCTGAACGGTATAATTGGGCTGCAACAAGGGGTGTGAATGAAGAAATGCTTATGGAGAATTTGCCAGAAGATCTGCAGAGAGACATAAGACGTCATCTCTTCAAATTTGTGAAGAAAGTACGCACTAGAATATCTATGCCATATATGAGTAATAGTTACACACTAATTTATCATGCTTACTCTTTAAGTGGATTATGATTTTGAGGTTTAAATGGAAGACAAGCTTCAGAATCTCAGCCACTATGATTCATTTAAATTTGATTTTCCTTTGGTCTTCTACTTGTAAGCTGCTAGGTTTGGATAAAAGTTTAAATTGAAAGCCATTTTAGAGGAAAAGCTTTATGCAACTCCATCATGAAACTAAAACCATGAAATACCAAAAGCCAAAGCATGTCAAACAACCCTGAAACTTCTCTATAATGATGATTTAATTTGCTTCTATAATTTGTGCCAATGTGTGTCTACAATCTGAGGATCTGAATTATCTCTAGATTCGGATTTTTGCCCTGATGGATGAGCCTATCTTGGATGCCATTTGTGAGAGACTGAGACAAAAGACATACATTAAAGGAAGTAGAATTCTGAGTCAGGGTGGACTGGTCGAGAAGATGGTATTTGTGGTGCGTGGTAAATTGGAGAGCATTGGAGAAGATGGAACGAGAATTCCTCTATCTGAAGGGGATGCTTGCGGTGAAGAACTTCTGACATGGTATCTTGAACATTCTTCAGTTAGCACAGGTATATCAATACTTGAAGCAATGGCAAGATGCCTGTTAATATTTTAAAGTAGACCAGAAGGAGTTGCAAAATCCAACAACCTGGCTTGTACAAAATTTGAAACAGCATGGTTCAACAATTTGATCTCTCATGCAGATGGTAGAAAAGTAAGGCTTCCAGGGCAGAGATTGGTCAGCAACAGGACAGTAAGGTGCTTAACAAATGTGGAGTCATTTTCACTCTCTGCTTCAGACCTTGAAGAAGTCACAATCCTTTTCACAAGATTCTTGCGGAGTCCATGCGTTCAAGGAGCCCTAAGGTCACTCCCTTGTCTTCTTGTATCTATCTATCTGGATTTATGATTCAACTTAGCGTCTCTTTGGGTAAATTTCTTTAGAAATACTTTTAAGAGAGAAATATCTGGAAAAGTGCTATAAGTCTCTTCATAAGCTAAAATTAGCTTATGTATAAACTAATTTGTAGGAACTCTTTTTTATTAGTTTCTCTAAAATCTTATTTTTAACTCACCATAAGTTAAGTTTAGCTTGTGGAGAAACTTATTTTGATTTTTTTCTTATTTTTCTCTCCTAAAAATACTTCTGAAGAAGCTTATTTAAACAAACCCTTGATCTTTTTGACATTTAACAACTAACAAAAATGAAAATAATCAAACCAGTGATAATACTTACACACATTTGATACTGACAAATCCCTCACACATAAAATGTTACTCCTGGTATAACTTTTTCTATATATTCCATGAGTTCACCTTGGTGTCACTGAGGGGTTTGTGAGATGAGCATTTAGTTGGTACTATTGTTGTTATGGTTGGTCGTATGTCTTCCATGAAGGGTCTTGTTCCGATATGTTTCTTTCTTGGGCACATAGCTTAATTCCCAATGGTTTGTCGTCATTAATGTTCATCCATTTCAATCATGTTGCATATTCGAAAACAAAAACAAATGGTTGAGATATGGTATGGTACAACATTAAGCCACATGTAGCTAGTAAGAACTAACAAGTTTGTGATTTTTCACTTGTAGAAAGCTCAATTTCTGTTTTCAAATCCGACTTTGATAATCATTTGAAAATTGTGTTACTTTAGGTATGAGTCACCTTATTGGAGATCCCTTGCTGCGACCCGCATTCAAGTTGCATGGAGATACAGGAAGAAACGTCTAAGTCGTCTCAATTCCTCACCATCAGATTAAACAATGAGGTTGTGGCCTGTGGGTTTAACTTTTATATTTGATTTGGTAGAGTTTTTATGATCTCCAACCCAATATAGTAGATTGACTATGTTCTTACCAACATGCAAAGGTGTCCTTTTTAAATTCTAGAAAAGTGAAGAATTCTACCATTAAAAGGAGGCATCTTTGCATGCATTATCTTGACATCACAATCTCATATATATAAATTAACAAAAGGAATTGGAAAACTTGGTGTAGTATTATACAATGCTCACCAAGACTTCAAAATATGGTAGTTTACATAGTTAGAATTCAAGGTTCTGGTTTGAGAGAAGAGAGAATAGGGAGGAAAAGTGTATAAAACTGAAAATAGGATTGTATTGATAAAAGGATAGGCGACTACAAAATGATTGTATCAAGACTTTATACTTGCTAACAAACTACCATCCTTTACCAGCAATTTCCTATTCTACTTTATCATTGTTATCATTATATAGATAAATTGATTTTAACTTTTTTTAGACAATTTTAAAATGCATTCCACCGCACTCAAACCTTCATCCTCGTCATCATACATCCTCTCTTTGATTCAAATTCGACGCTACAAATCTTAAACCTTTCAATTGCAACTCTAATACCCTTGTTAAGAGCAATTTCTTACAATATGCGATCTTGACAATTACATCAAGTTCGTCCTCAATGATCATTATCTTTGCGAGGTCGCTATCGGTCATCACCTCACCATGGAGGAGTTTGATCTCACGCTTAATTACTCCCACATCATGTAGAAGCTAATGTGTTGCTAGAGGTCCACTACTCTATCAACACAGTTGTCTCTTCTAAAGCCAAGAAGAACTGCACTAGTTGGCTCAAAAAATCAAGATCGTTGTTACCTATTGTGATCACCATAGCAACGAACAAGACACTTCATTGAAAAAGGGAGACTAATGGTCCAACTTTATCATCAACAACAATTAGGATATGACATTTCATGGCTGAGGACAATAATGAAGTACATTTTGAAGATATCTAAAAAAATTAAAATTAATTTATTACTTGAAAATGATAAAGTTAAATATAACGAATATAATATATATTATATTTACCATTGAAAGTTGATGACAAAGATTATTTTTAAAAAATTATAAAAGGTTAGATATGAAACAATAATAAAAAAATTACAAAAACTAAAAAATAAATAAGAATAAAGATTATATTTAAGCCTTAGAAATATTAATAATGATACAAATTACTTTTTTCTAATAGTAATTGAATTAATCACGATAGAATTTATATTTTTTAATAGTAATTAAATTAATGTCTTAAAAAAGTAGTAATTAAATTAATTATGATACAAATTAAGTTGTTAATAATAATTAAATTAATGCTTAAATATGTTTTTAGTCACTCAAATTTAAGACAAATTTGTTTTTTGGTTCCTTAAGTTTAAAAGTTTTTAGTCTTGTATTTTTTAAAAACTCGTTTTACTCTCAGGTCACCAATTATATATCTAGAAGTGACATATCAAAATAGTTATGTAATATTAATTGAGTTTTATGCGATTTTTTTTATTAACGTGGATATTAATAAGTAAATTTTATATAACAATATTTGACAGATTTTTCAATAAAATTTGAGTATAAGAATTAAAAGAAAATTTTTAGAAATTATAAGAACTAAAAAAACAAAGTTTAAATTTGAAAAATTAAAAATATATTTAAATCTTGAATTATTTACAATATAAGTTATCCTATGTTAAATAATATTTGAATTAATTGTGCCACAAAATATCCTTTTATTTAAAATTAAATTTATTATAATACAAAGAAAACTTGTTTCTATTATATATTTTGAATTAATTACATAGCAAAAATAAGTTCCTTTCTATATTTTCATTATGTAATTAGATGATACAAGAGTAACTAACAAGGTTCAACATAACTCATAAATAGTTGATTTCTTTAAACATGTTAATAGAAGTTTAATTTTTTGGACATGCAAATAAAAAAATGTTATTGGTATAATAAAAATTCACGTTAATAATTTCTACAAAAGAGTATCAACCAACAATACATATGAAAACTCATTTTCATTGTAACAAAATACGTAATGAAAATTTTAATCTTATTTATATACACTACTTTAACTTTATGATCAGTCGATGTATGATTTAATTCTTTTCTCAACATTTCTTCTCACGTCTAACATGGACTTATACTTCACTTTTTTTTATAAAAAAAATCAGAGTTTAAGATTCTCAACTTATACACAATATTTTAGTCTTATCATTGAACATGTAGTATTTGAGTTTTTTTTTTTTCAACATTCTTCTCTAATTACCAATTCCTAAAGATGACTTTTTCTTCTGCGAGCTTTGATTTGACAATGAAAAAAAATGTAATTATTTTTTTTACAAATGTTAAATAAGTAAAAGTCTCAAAGTTGACGGAGTTTTTCATGTGACACGGTAATGTCAAATCAAATTCTAAATATATGGTAGATTATTAATTGTGTATATAAAATAAGATTATATAAGAAGAAATTAAGTTACTTCGTTGGTTTTCCCAATTCGAAAAAGAAAAACTTCAACTATCAATTAAAGAATGCCTTTAATGCATTAAAAAAGTCTAATACGAAAGGATTCTCCTTCCTTCTTTAGGTCCTCTCCCACATTTCTATTTAACTATATAGAGTACCCCAACATTTTGATGGTTTCTACATTTCAAAAAAATAAAATAAAAAGTCAACTATCTATTAAAGAATGGCTTAATTTAATGCATTAAAAAAAGTCTAGAGTATGTGAGAGGATTGTGCTTCCTTCCCCAATTTGAGTTTTCATTATAAAGGATACTCACTTTTGTAGAAAAAATGCTTTCTCCTTTTCTTTCTATTTTTGAGTGATTTTTACATAATTATATATAAACAACATGAAATGAAACAGAAAGCATTATAACACACAAACATTTTTTGGACACTGAACGATTAGTTTGTATATTGTTCATGCATCTCCATGGGTCCACACGCACACCTAAATATTAATTATTAAATCTTACCCCAAATAGTTAATGTTAAAATACAAAAATCATGTGATATTTATCGATTTTTAGTCATATAACTTTAAATTATTTTTAATTTTAATCGTCCATTATTAATTACATAGAGAAAAAATGTTTCTTTCATTATCAAATAAAAGTTGAGAAAGAAATGTTTAATTAAATATTAAAAATTAAAAATTTTTATAGAGGTTTAATTTATCGAATAAATTAGTAAAATTTAATACATAAAAAAATTATTCACCAGAGTAACATTAGCTAAAGTTAAATATTAATTAATCTAGTTGGGTTTCCATCCAGTTCAGGCATACACAGTGTTTGACCAGAAAACTTTGGCAAATAATAATAATAATAAAAAGCTTAGGAAAGGGTACGTGACGCCACGAAGCATAGTTATTAGTTATAGGCATATCCAAAGCGAAGTGTTTACTGAAGAGTGCAGCTATACCTAGTGCTGCCAACAACTGTGTCATTGACCCTACACTTGCTCAATCTCAACCCAACCAACCACTTTTATACCCAACTCACTTTCTTAAGTATGCTGATACATACAGTGATTAATTTATACAAAAATCATAAGCATATATAAGATATTCTTGCTGAATATATATATATATATATATATATATATATATATATAAACAATGTTTGGTGCTTCTTTCTTACTTCATCAAATCCTATGAGAGAACAAAACAAAGTAAGACAAACAGAAAAATGAAAAAGTAAACCAAAGGCTTCTTGTTTTTAATTCCAAACCATTCATTCAAATGCCGAAAGTTGTTACATTCCAACTCTCTTTCATTATCGCTCATCCTCACAATCTCATGTCATAGCTGACTTTTTCAATCTTTTCAAACTCTTAAGCCTTACAACTCCACCACATTGGTATTGTTTCCACCCCCCCAATGATCAACAAGCTTTCAAAATGCATGCTTTAATACAAACTTGATGGGATCATGGTTTTGACTTTCCGCTCAGAAAGCTTTCAAGCTGGTACTGCTACTCCTTCTGTCTGTACCTCTTGTTTTACTTGGTTGTATCTTGTTTAACCATCACCTTGTTGCTATAACATACATCTGCATGCCTACCAAAATAGACAAACCATAAAGATGGACTATAAGCTCTGATACCATATGTTTTATAGTCACGTTTAACTTTTCTAGTCCTCATTATCTTATCTTTGTTTTTCAGTTTTGATAAGACGAATTGGTCACCAGGAAAAGAAATTGAAGTCAATTGAGATATGATTAAGAATTAACATAGTCTATAAGTGCAAGGGGAAAAGAATACCAAGTTCCCTTAAGGTGCACTAAATTTCGAAGGCTTTTATCCAGGACACAAACTGCATCAGTTTCTATTCCCATGGAGTCATATGAAAGAGAAATTAGTCTGGTGGGACACAGTGGTTCACTATATGCTACACCAGGAACTGAAAATCTTTCGCAGCAGAGTATAGTTATCGCAGGAAACAAATCAGAGGAGAGCGAAACAGATAAATTTGCTACTTTCAGCACCACGGGTTCAAATCACTGGAATAACAACTATGACAAAAAAAATGAACATTTGCTAAGATCTGGGCAACTGGGAATTTGTAATGATCCTTATTGTGCTACTTGTCCTACTTACTTCAAGGCTTCTCAACCAAGTAATCCAAAAGCTTCAACTATATCTGATCCCAAGGTGTTTTGTCTTTCTTCCTATAATAGAGTATTGTTTCAGTTGCATTTAATTACATGTTACGTAGTTAAATTTTTATTCTAGATATGTGATTTTATGCTATACAACTGTAATTGGATGTTGTATTGCCAAATGCTGACCACATACCTCTACTTATAATAGTTTTAACAACTACCGTACGATACTTTTTCTTTTCCCTTTCTCTGGATACATTACAACTTACAAGAAACAGCTCTTAACCCTCAAGACTTTCATTAGTAATATAGTCTTATATTCATTGGAGCATTTTATTCTTTTTACTGTTAAAACCTACTGCGGTTGTCTTTGACATTGTTCACTTGCAACACAAGAATTATTGAGTTTTGACAATTAGCAATTTCAAGATGTCTCCTTATTTTATCAAATGCTCACTTTCCAAAGGCTCCTATTAGTTTTATTTTGTCATTATACTTGATCTTCTCTTAACCTTTTTCATTTCCTTTTGCGGACATTTATGATTTATTATCATTTTCACATAACCAGTTAAACTTCTGTTTCAATGTTTACAGTTTCACAATGCTCTTGATAGAGACGCCAAGAGTTTCGCTAGAAAACTTTTTTCTTCCTGTTCTTTTGTTCCTGGAGTTATGAACCCTCACTCTAAATTCATACAACATTGGAACATGGTTCTGGCCATTTGTTGCTTGGTTGCAATTTTTGTGGATCCATTATTTTTCTTCTTACTCTATGTTCAGCAG